TCCTCCTCCTCCTCCTCCTCCTCCTCCTCCTCCTCCTCCTCCTCCTCCTCCTCCTCCTCCCCTCTCCTCCTCCTCCTCTCCTCCTCCTCCTCCTCCTCCTCCCTCCTCCTCCTCCTCCTCCTCCTCATCCTCCTCCTCCTCCTCCTCCTCCTCCTCCTCCCTCCTCCTCCTCTTCCTCCTCCTCCTCCTCCTCCTCCTCCTCCTCCTCCTCCTCCTCCTCCTCCTCCTCTGGCCGAAGGCAGCGCAGAGGAGAACGAGAGGCTCGGCGGCGCGCCGCCGGCGCAGCGGCAGAGGCTCTCGCGGGCACGGCCGGCCCCCGAGGGCGGGCAGGCCATGCTCGCCGAGGAGGCGGGCGGCGAGATGCCGCAGCTAGAAGACGGGACGCACAAAGACCTAAGGGACGCGCAAAGACCTGAGGGATCCCGCGACATGGTGTCCTCGCTGCTGCTACCGCCCCCGCTCAAGAGCAGGCTCCGCAGCACGCCTCCCTCCTCCTCCTGTGGGGGAGGCACAGAGACATACTAATACGATATGTCTTCCTTGGAGGCGCGCGTCCAAGCCGAGCATATAGCATACCCATCTTGCAGTGTATCGTTTCCCGAGCGGTGTGGCCAGAGAGCGCCCGCCACGACGCACATCCTATGAGATTTCTCGGTGCGCGCGCCGCCCCTGGGGGGGCGACGCACATATAGTATAAGGTGACGCCGAGAAGAGTCGGCGGAGACGGTGTACATGCTGACTTTCAAGCGCAAGGCCCCCGCCATCGTGGAAAGGAGGCTCACGACCGACGAGAAGAGACAATCCTACGAGGCGAAACTGGAAGCCTTGTAGACTTTCAACCGTAACGATGGCTGGGAACCCATGCATCGACGAGGCCGAGGTCGACCCGGCACCCAGCTGCCCTTTGAGGTCACTGCTGAAGTGGAAGACGAAGGACGGGCAGAAGGTGGCCCGCGCGCGCGCGCTGTGCTGGGGGGTCGAGCATCGCAAGGCAGTCGAGGGCCAGCTCGACAAGGAGGCGCCGACCCTCCGCAGGCTGCTGGGCCGACACACGGTCATGCTGTGGGCGTCGCCAAAGAAGTGGAGGTTGTCCACGGCTGATGTGCAATCAGCGCTTCTGAGGCTGAGGACGCGAGCACTCGCGGCCTCAAGCTGCCACGCAAGCCCGCCGAAGGAGATGAGGGACGCGCCGGCGACCCAGATCGGCCTGCGTCCTGGACAGCTGCTGAAGATGAACAAGCCTTAAGTCGGGCGTGTCCCCCTACAGGGGGATTCTCGACGAAAATTAAGAACATACCCCCAAATAGTAAAAAAAAGTCAAAAAATAGTCTGGGTATTATCTTTTTAAATATCTGTTGACCATTTGGGGGTATGTTTTGAAGATGTTTTATTTTTCGCCCAAGATCCCCCTGTAGGGGGACACGCCCGACTTGAAACAAGCCCTGTTTCGGTGACACGCGGTCGCCCATTCTGTGGCAGTACAAGTCCGACGGAGCGACGAAGTGACGAGGGAGATCGGGCTCCAGAGCCACCGGCTCGAAGACTGCCTCCGATGTCCTCGCGGAGAAGGCGAGGGTCGGCGACGACCCGTCTGACGTGCACGGCTTCGACGGGCAGACCCTGCGTGGTGGACGGCCTGATCGCCAAGCACATGGATCGAAGATCGGGTTCTAGGAGCCCCCGGCTCGAAGACTGCTTCCGATGTCCTCGCTCAGAAGGCGAGGGTCGGCGACGACCCGTCTGACGTGCACGGCTTCGACAGGCAGACCTACGCGGTGTCGGGCGTTGGCAAAACTGGGTTTCGTGGAACCTGGTTTAGTGATTTGTACCAAGGGCGCCCCCCCGCCCCATTTCCACCAACCGGAACTGCCGTCACCCGAAAAGCACCAGTTACGGCAAACCTGGTTTAGTGAATCTGGCCAATTGAGGGGCCCCAGGGCCCTACCACTAACCGGGTCCCCTTACCCGGGGTCCTAGCTATACCCGATGGTGGACGGCCTGATCGGCAAGCAAATGGATGGACGACTCCATAGGCTGTGGCGAAGGTGTGCACGCTGAGGAGGACCTTTATACTGAGCCCGACGACCCGGAATGCTTCCAGGCCTGCCTGGGCGTGCTCAATGAGAAGCTCAAGTTTGGCAAGTGGGGTGTCGTACCCAGCATGATTTTCACTGGAAGCGAGGTTGAGCAATTGCTGAGCAACTACGCCGTGATGACCAAGTTCGAACAGCACCTGCACGCGATGAAGCCGATCACGATCGAGAAGCACCGCCGCCAAGATCCCACGAGTGTGGGGGGTGATCATTGCGGCAGCCACGGTATCCACCTGTGCGGCAGTTAGCGGCTGCGCCACCATCCAGGACATGATGGACGCCAACGAAGATCTCAGGCTCCTGAAAAACAACGCGGACGTGGGGCTCTACTCGGCTTCGAGAAAGGCCAGGAGTTACGCGTGTGTTGGAGGCTACTCCGACGCGTGCTGAGCCAACCGCCCCGACGGCAACTCGCAAGGATGCTTCGCGATCTGCATCGGCCCACGCGACGAGATCGAGGCTGGCAATCCGACCCCGTTCGCGACCATGTAGTGGGCGTCGAAGAAGCTGGCTCGGTTCTGCAGGAGTTCGCTACCCGCTGAGGCGCAGGCAGCTGCTCTCGGAGTGGACGTGATGAGGTGGGTCAAAATCTACTTGACGCTGAGTCTGCGTCCCGACGTCAAGAGCGAGGAGGACATGCCGCTCCTTGGACAAGCCCATTTCGCCACGGACGCCGAGTGCTCGTGCGGCGCGTCGCGGTCGGCGAGAGCGGGCCTGCGTGGGCATCGCCGAGAAGAGGACGGCGACCGAGGTGAAGATCGTGAACGATCAGATGCGTGAGACCGACGCTGCGTGGGGATGGGTGACCACCCGGCAGCAGCTGGCCGACGGCATGGCGCGACGCTCACCGCACCAGGATGGTGCCAGACGCGCTGCGCCGTGGAGGTCCACGCCTTTTGCGGTGCCGACCCCGACGCCCTGGCGGACGAGAAGCCCTCCAAACGCGCGGTGGAGCAGCGCGAGGAGCTCGAGCAGGCAGGCGACAATAGACGAGCGCCTTCCACTACTCACAAAAAGGGCTACTCGCAGATCGCCCGGATCCGCCGCGGGGGATCTGCGATCAATTACATCGACACAGACATGTGGTTTTCGGGCGTTTGCGAGTAGGCACTTTGCGAGTAGTCGGAACGCCCTCGGTGAGAGATTAGGAGCTCGAGCAGACAGGCGACAACATGGCAGAAGAGTTCGAGAAGACCCCCGAGCTGCAGCCCAAGCACAGGGCTAGGATGCCGGGGCACTTCGGTGCCAGTGGTAAGGAAGCTTGCTGCCACGCTGGCGGCGGGCTCAGCATCGAGTGCGGCAAGCACCAGCGACCTGATGACCCAGACGTCCAGCGACGTCGCCTGCATCGACTACGTCTACTACTACGACGCCGACGACGGCATCTACGAGTGGATGCGCACCGTGGCCCTGACCGCTTTGGCGACGGCCCTGATCTTGGTGTTCGCTGGCGGCTTCAAAGCAGCCTACTTGACGGAGGGTCAATTCGTTTGTTTGGAGACAAGGATGAGTTGGCTCGGGGAAGTGGTTGGGACCTCGTGGGTGGCTTGGGTTACATTCGTGGAGCACTGTGGCGTGTCTAACAAGGAACAAATGCGTAGTGCCACCCAAGATGAGAGTAGCAACAACAGAGAAGAGCGACAAGCAGCATAATACCACGACACTGAGCATCATGGACGAGGAGCCGCGCAGGCCCCACACGAAGAAGGCTCGGAACGTATGCCGCCAAGCGCCGACGAGGCACAACACGGAGCTCACGGCCCCGAGCTTCCAGAAGCTGGCAGCTTCTGGAAGCGCTCACAGGGCGTTCCCGACGCAAGCCGTTTTGACGAGGAGACCGGCGTCGCCGAAGTGACTGAGCACTTAGCCCGAGCACACCTTACAGAATGCCAATCTGGCGCCCTCCCGTTCTTTCCAGGCGAGATCGACCGATCACCTGGCATGACGAGAGATAATCCAAAACAAATCTGCCGTACGCCGCTGTCGCGATCACCGGTTTCACAGGTGTGATAGTCAGATTTGTGCAGGGGACCTGTGGTTTCCTCGCCGAGATAATGTTCTAGTTCGGTCTGGCGTTTTTTGATTTGAATTTCTTTCCTGGTTCCGTTCACGGGAGCCCCGATCTGTTAGGCAATATATGTTTGATACCTTTTCACACAAACTGTGCTAGCTCTTTTTTCCACCTGTGTCAATGCGAATCCTATTATATTGAGTTTGTTCCTGTGTAGTCTCTGCGCGTGTTGTTTAGCACTGATGTGTATCGTGAAGCAGTGTGCATGCTGTATGCTGTTGACCAGTTGCCGTTTATGATCGAGAGGCCCCTGAATCAGGTAAAAGGCTGCGTTTCTCGTACAGATAATCGAGACCATCGTTCTCACGAGTATTTCCGAGTAGACCTAGTGTGCTACCGTCGGATGATACAAGAGGCCCCCAATAGGCCCCCCCAGAGGCCCCCAGAGGCACCTAACAGGCCCCTGAGAGGCTCCGAGACGATCCAACGGGAACCCTTTTGAGCATGGTGTTGGGTTTCCCAAATGTGCACACGGCGCCAAGACGCTTCTACGGCAACGCCCCTCCTGGAAGAGATGCCCGCAGGGCTCCCAAAGAGGTCGGCGGTACGGCGTAAGCTGAGGAATGACATATGAACCCGTCTAGTCTGGTAGGCTCTCCGGGAGAGCTCTCGAAGACTCTGAGGAGGCCTTGGCTGGCCGTGCACGGTGCCCGGGTGCATCAGATTGAATGGAAGAGCAACCGATTTCGTATGGACGGGGCCCATCAAAATTGATTAAAAGCGCTCGGGAGCCACGAAACCATCCGATCGATAGGCCTTAGGGAATGTTTGCAAGATGCTCGAGCACGTGTGCTGGAAATAAGAGTAGCAGAATGAAAGCATCAGGGCTGATCATCCTGCGCGCCCTTGCACCAAACTGTTGCCTCCAGCGTCGGGGTATCACAGGAACTCAATAAAACATTGCACACACAAATGAGACAACGCTCGCACACATTGTATGCACACGCCGAACCACTCCCGAAAACCCATGCCATGGAGCACGCACAACTACAATCAAAATAGATGCAGTAGCCGCATGTTCACTCACAAAGTTAAAACGAGCCATCGATCCCTGCTGAACTCTCTATGTTCGACGCGGGAGAAGAAGCTCGCAAGTGAACTAACATAACCATGTTGACATTATAATTGGCGTACTGCTGCATTGATGTGCTCGTACGGTCAACGCTACATTCAAGGACATGTTGCGAATGATTACAATCATTTCGGATGAAAATATGATCCGATGGTGTGGTGTTTCGGACTCCGCGTCACACAATTCACAACTGCCAACAGTGCTCTCTTCAAAAACGTGCATGAGTGATTGACTCGAAATAATTATGGGAGGGGGGTGTGCTCTGGAGCCTTCGCCCCTCTTGGCATCGTCCTTGCGAAACTTCTGCCAGGTCCAGGAGGAAAACGAAGCTAGGGAAGGGGAGGAGGAAGCAAAGTCAGGAGAAATTCCTTCGTGAGTTTCCCAATCCCTCGCGCCGATCCTTGGATTCTCCTGGCACCCCACGCAGGGGCAACGAAACCCGCCACCACCACCACCTGCAAGCCAGCAGGATGCCCCGCAGATGCACCCAAGATGGTGTACACCACCACCGCCCCCGAAGCCCGCTATGCCCACCCTCCGGGCGGTGATGGTGATCTTCCTCCTTGGCCCCTCCATGTCGGCGGTTCAAAGATGGAGCGCTGGGAGATGGGGCCCTAAGGATAGGAGGGGATCCCAGGTGGAATCCCACCAGCCCTCTGGCCGTTGGTGGTTTAACGAATTGTTCTATTCCCTCTTCCAAAACCTTTCCTTTCCGTTCTCGGGGGAGGGCTTTATCACTATTCCCTAGTAATATGCACCCCCTCCTCCAGGCGACCGGCAGCCAACCAGGAACCATGCCGACCACCATGATCTCCCCCCCCACCATCCCTGTCAAAGAACAATGAAAGAAACACATTCTGCCTCCAAATTCGGAGCATGCGCAGCCAACCCGATGCGCCCCCCCCATTATCCCTGTCAAAAAGCAATACCACATACACTGTTTGGCAAAGTCTTGAGTCATGTTCGTGAGGTCCGCGAGCACAGATGTTCTTTTGACAAGGACGGCGGGGTGTCAGCATATTGCCTGCAGTGCGCACCGCGTGCACCTCGCGGCTGAATCTGGATCATGCGCGGCCACCCCGCGATCACTGCCAAGTGGTTTTTGACATGCACGGCGCGGGTATTGGCGAAAAGCCTGCTGTGCGCAAACCCACCAGGCACAGTGATGGGCATTGATTTTCGACGAGGATGGTGGGGGTCGACATGTTTCCCGAGGTGTGCTGCCACGTGTGCAGGCGCACCCGACACGCTCTGCACGTGCCCCGAACGTGGCGCACCAGGCGCGGCTGGAGTATGCGGCACATCTGGCGCACGTGGCGCATCTGGCGCACCAGGAGTGCCTGGCACGCGCGGCGCACCTCGCTCCCGCGTCGCGCACGTGGGGTCGCTTCTGGTTCCCAGCAGCTGTCCGTCCCAAAACGACCGCTGACCATGCCGAGACTCGGGTGCTACGTATGTGTTGGGAGGGCGGGTGGGAGTGATCGAGACGGCTTGCGGGCGGGAGGGTGCCTTGACCCCTCCCCCTCCCCCCTCCCCTGGGCCTGGACGGGGGGGGGAGGGCGCGATCGGTCAGAGCGTCGAGGATGACTCCAAGAAGGCCTCAGAGATCGCAAGATGGCCTCCAAGATGGCCCAATATACCGTAAGATGGCTTAGGATATTCTCCGACATGCCTCCAATAGGCTCCAAGATCGCTCCAAGACGGCACCATGTGCTCTCGAAGCCCCCATCAGGGCCCTCCCAAGATGCACAAACCCTTCAAACACAGGGCAAACAACGTGTTGTGCCTTCTCGCTTCCAATTAGCTTGTGAGGCCTCAAGATGGCCGAAGAGAGACCCAAGCCTCAAGAGGGGCCCACGACGGTCGCAAGAGCGCGCAAGCGCCCCACGACGGCCCCAACACGCAACTTTTCAGCCTCGGGGAGGGGGCTGACTGTATGTCCCCCTTTTAAGACACAAGGCCCAAAACGGCCCCTAGAGGCCTCCAAGACCCCCCCCAAAGGAGCCCCAAGAGGGCTCCAAGAAGGTCTCGATAGGGACAAGAATGCTTCCAAAATAGGTACGAAATGGCTCCGAGATACCTCTTCTAAGAGGCTCGCGGATCGAAAGCTTCGCGAAGGCTTTATGGTTGACTCGACTCGTCGTTGTCGTCGCCACCTTCATCGTCGTCTCCTTCTTCCACCCCCCTTCCAATCTACTGAGTCGTCCGCTTCTTCTTCTTCTTCCTCCTCTTCCTCTTGTGTTTTTTCTGCGTCCTTCTCCTGTTGCCAACGGCAGGATCCCCGCTCCGAGAGGGTCCCAAGACAACTCAAAGAGGGCCCCCAGAAGACCCCAAGCCGGTGATGCGGGAATACTCTTCCGAGACGGCTGTTCCACTGCATGCTTCTACACTTCCCTGATCAAAGCAACTCGCCTGGCGATCATTTCTGGATGGACTGGTGGGGATGCCCGCGTCAAGAATGTGTACTTGGAACCGCCGATCCAGGCGCCACCGCGGGGCTGGCCACGTCAGGGGGCCCCCTTGCCGGCAAGGCGTCCCGTCCCGGCGCGGCGTGCCCTGCACAAGAACAAGGGCGGCACCGGGCGGCCTTCCCCTCCGTGGGCTCGACCTGTGAGGCCGATTCGGGCCCGGTGCTCCCTCCTAGCACTCGGCACATCCCGTTCATGCAGGCCAGATGCTCCCTCCTAGCACTCGGCACCTCCCGCTCCTCGTGCGCGTCGACAGCTCCGCTCGTCTCGCTTGCTGCCCCTTCCGCGCGCTTCTGAGGTAGCGTTCCCGTCACCCTACAAAAAGCCGCTGCTGCCCGTGCTCCCCAAATTCACGGCCATGCTCCTCACTCACGTTCGGCATGTACGCGCAAACGCTTGCTCTGGCGGTATGACGTGATGCACATACTAGCCCCATGCTCCGATGAACCAAACTTCACGCTCGAATCCAATATCGTGTGCCCAACAACTGTCATTACTTGACCCGTGACCCCGTATAATTAAGTGAGTTGCCAGAGTGAGTTCCAGCAGAGTTGGGAAGATCATGAAATTGATCAGGCTTCATGGTGTAAACGGCACGCGTGCCCTGACTCTTGCACCAAGAAGCTGCGAGGGACAGGAGGCTTTCGCCTCCTTCCTCCAGGAGTTTCCTTCAGTGGCCAGGGTGGGGAGGGGGGAGGACGGACGACGAACGAACGAACAACGACGACGAAAATAACGAGGTCCGAGCTCTAGAACACAGCTGTGCAAGAGAACATGATCAATGTCCGAAGGCAGAAGGGATGGTGACGGACAAGCTGCCTTCACGAAAGGCATCTCGATATGCTCAGCAGCGTGCAGCCGAATCACTTCCTGCATCTCGCCGAACCTCATCCACAAAAGCGAAGAAGCACTGCATTCAATCGCAATATGAATCGGACGAAACGCTTCATTGCTAATGAATGAACAACGTCCACATCAAATTACCCTGTGCACATCACGGCGTGTGGGCAAACCTTCGAGTCCATCGCAGAGTCATGCGCCCATTTGCATTCGCCCTCAACGTCTGCCAGCTAAGCGAGTAATCGAACCAGCCCTATGGTTTAGCGAATTTACTCTTCCAACCCCCTCTTCCACTTCGGGGAACATTTTACCACTGCTCCTTCTCAATATCCCCTCCCCCACCCGACCGGCTACAAACCAAGGACTACCCCTCCCATCCCTGTCAATGAACCCGGCGCGACCCCAATCAGGCGAAAACTTCCCATTGCATGGGCGCAATGCTTGGCATCGCTTGGCATTACTTGGCATTGCTTGGGGAACCCGGGGAACTGCTTGGCATCGCTGGGCATTGCTTAGCTGTATCTGGCATTGCTTGGGGAACCTGGGGAATCCGAAGAACCCGAGAAACCCAGGGAACCTGGGGAACCCGGTGAACGAGGAATCCAAGGAACCCGATGAACTCGGGGAACCCGGGGAACCCGAGAAACCTGGCCAGGGAACCCGAGGAACCCGAGGAACCCGGGGAACCCGGGGAACCCGAGGAACCCGGGGAACCCGAGGAACCCAAGAAACCCGAGGAATCCGGGGAACCCGTGGAATCCCACGGAATCTCCGGGGAAGGGGCAAAGTAAGCCCCAGAGGCACCGACCTGTAACCAGGTAAGAACCCTTTTGGGGGAAAACAGTGCGAAGTGCAGTTTGCGGCAAGATCTTGGGTCATGCTCGGGGGGGCCGCGAGCACCTTGTATTGCTTTTGCTGACAGGGACGGCGGGGGCGCCAGCACATGGACTGTGCTGTGCACAGGGGCACCGCCCATGTCAAAGCACTACACCAGCTGCACTTCGCGGCAAAATCTGGAGCATGCACGGGCACCCCGCGGTCACTTTGCGCTGGCACATTGCCTGCCGTGCGCAGGCGCACGCAAACATCAGGATGGCCAGTTCGACGCGACTGCGCACCGGCTTTCGATAGGGGTGGTGTGGGCCGACGTGTTTCCCGATGTGCGCGGGCGCAACTGGCACACTCTGCGCGTGCCCCGAAAGCGGAGGAGGCGGAGGAGGAGGAGGAGGAGGAGGAGGAAGAGGAGGAGGAGGAGGAGGAGGAGGAGGAGGATGAGGCGGAGGCGGAGGCGGAGGAGGGAGGGGGAGGAGGGAGGAGGGAGGAGGGAGGAAGGAGGGAGGGAGGAGCGAGGAAGGAGGAGCGAAGAGGATGATGATGATGATGATGATGATGATGATGATGATGATGATGATGATGAGGAGGAGGAGGAGGAGGAGGAGGAGGAGGAGGAGGAGGAGCAGGAAGAGGGAGAAGTAGGAGGAGGAGGAGGCGGAGGAGGGAGGAGGAGGAAGAGGGGGAGCAGGAGGAGGAGGAGCTGGCACGCTTGGCGCTTGGGCCCCAAGGCCACGGGGCGCGCCTGGCACGCGTGGCGCGCCGCGCGCGCCGCGCACCTGGGGTCTGCAGTGGTTCCCGGTGTAGCTGTCCATCTCAAGATGGCCGCTCAGAAATCTTCGCTAGAAGCCCAATCCTGAAATCCGCGATCTGTTCAGTGACAATCCAAATTTGTCGATCGAAAATCGTCAAGATCTTATTGGGGGCCCATCGAAATCCAAGACACCCAGGGCACCCTGGCAGAATCCGACTGGTTTCTTGGCACGCGCCCCCACTGTACTACTTCTGTGTTGGGAGGGCGGGTGGGAGTGAGCCAACAAGTTTGCGCCTGGGAGGGGCGTCTTGACCCCTCCCTTCACCCTCTCCCTTGGACCTGGACGGGGTGTTCGCGAGCGATTAGAGAGAGCGTCCAAACAGCCTCGGCGAGAAGGCAAACATCGCTGATATCGAGCTCCTCCAAGATGGCCACAAGATGGCCCCGAAGCAGAGGGCCCAAAGAGGCGCCCAGGAGGCCCCAAAAGGACTCCAAGAGGCCTCTGGTCTTTCTGCTCGCCCTCGTACCCCTCCTCCTGCTCCGCGTCCTCCTCCTCCATCTCCTCCTCCCATCCCCATCCTCGTCCTCCGATTCTTCCATCATCCCCCCTTTGGAGTATGACGGCTTCCCCAGCCCTCGATTCCACTGCGCACTTCTCCACATCCCTGATCAGGGCAACTCGCCTGGGCATTATTTCTGGTTAGACTGGTTGAGTCACCTTTTTTTAGTCGCAGCTGCAGGCTAACGAGCCGACCATGTCAGTAGAGCAGCACGGGCTGCGAGCACCCTAATTGCCGGCGCGCGCGCCGCACAGGCAGACTAAACCCACCGCTGAGGGAAAATGCGCCGGGGCTGAGCTGCGCCGACGGGTGGAAGCTGCCAGCAGCGGAGGCGTCGGGGAGTTGCAACGTGCGAGTACCATGGGAGCGAGATCACCAGGCACGAGAATTAGTCCTTGTCGCGACCAGGCGCCAGAGGACAGAGAGGCAGACCGCCAGGGGACACGCTGGGCTGGACAGGAAGGCTGAACCACTCCTGCGAGACACGGCGGCCAGAACCCCAGGGGCCAGCTGAAGACCAAAGCCAGGGGAGTGCAAGCACTGCTAGAACCGGCCAGAACTCGCGAGACCTGACGCAAGGGCACACTCGGACCCACGGAACGGAGAGAGTATGCGGCCAGGTCGCCACCACTGCGGCTGAGGAGGACGAAGCCCAACACCAGTGGCGGAGTAAGAGCCAAACGCGGCCAAACCGACCGGTGACTGGGAACAGGGCCCAGAGTGTGAACGCACGTGTACCGGGGCTGGTCAAGACGCGTGAGTGGCTGACGTCACGAAAGGGCCAGAGCCGGGGAAACCACGCCAGGCCGTGGCGGGATCTAGGCAAAGACCAGAGTGAGAACAATACTAAGAGTGCCAAGGCCGGAAGGCACGTTGCGCCCCGCCCCAGCGGAGACAGCGCGCCCGGCATTGGCGGCAACTGGGGGCCAGTTCCCCCAGGGCGGGGAGGCCGAGCCAGTGGCCGAGCAGGAACCGTGGCGGCCCAGGGGACCGAAGCCGAGGGACCGGGTCCCCAAACCCCCGACGTCGTGATTTTTTCACGACGCGACCCCCAAAGGTCTGGACCTCTTCCCCGGGACTGGTTTTCCTCCTGAGCCGTTTTTTGACGGCCCCGAGGCCCGCTAAGGGCCCCCAGAGGCCGAAAATAGTGAAAACCCTCCCGTCGTGATTTTTTCACAACGCGAGGGGGTCTGGGTCAGGCCATGACAACGTCCAGGCGTTGGTCAGAGCGAAACCCACGACAATAGCGGCCATGGCCGGTAGGCGCGGGGAACCCGCCCCGGCGGGCCCCGCGAGCCCCGTATTGACGGCGGCCGGGGGGCATCTCAAAGGCGAGGGACCTTGCTGGGCGCCGCGAAGGTTCTCACCACACGACCCAGGGCTGCCAGTGGGGGCTGAAGGCCACTGCCGCCAGGTGAGGTGAGAGCTAGTATAGCATGCGGTCGATGACAAGCATGCTGCGCGCAGTGCGCAGCACCGTGTCGACTGCATCTGCCCCCCGTCCGTACACCGTGCCGTGGGGGGCAGCGCCGGGGTAAGGCCCGCTCGTGCACGGGGGGCTGGCCAGGCACTGTGGGCGACCTCAGTCGACGGCAGCACGCTCCAACGAAGTGACTGCTGCCTGGCATGAGAAGGGACCCTCTGGGCCGCGGGCGAAGCAAGTGCTGGGAGTGCTGCTAGGGACGACTGACGGTCGCACGGTTGGCGTGGAGGGGGGCAGACGAGTGCGGGCATGCGGTGCGCCGCGAAAGCACCGTGCCGGCTGCGTCTGAGCCCCGCCTGGACAGCGAGTGGTTGAGTTACTTTTTTTGGTCGCGGCCACCAGCGAGCGCGCAGGCGGCGAGAGAAGTTGTCCGGGCCGACGGGGTGGTTGAGTTACTTTTTTTGGTTCGCGGCTCCAAGGCGAGGGACATGGAGCGGGCACAACGTCCGGGGCGCGGGGGTCCCGGGTCAAAATACCACCCCTCCCTAGGGGGGCCCGGGCCCGGGGCCAAGAGTGCCCCAAGAGGCTCCCAAGACGGTCCAAGAGGACCCCGAATCGCCGAACGACCAGTCCAAGACGTCTATACGGCCTCCACACGGCCGAGAAGGCTAGAAGATGCCCCAAGAGTCCTCGAAGAGCACTACTAGGAGAGCTCCAAGAGGCAAAACTCATTCATTTCCCATGATTTTTTCAAGGATTTGAGCGTTCTCGCGTTCTCAGCTTCCCGACGCTCCAAAATAGCCTAAGAGGCTCCAACGATCGCCCCAACAGGCCTCCAAGAGGATCCCGAAACGGGCCAAAGAGGGCCCGAAGACGGCCCAAGACGCCTGCAAGACGGCCAAAGAGGCCCCCTTAAGAGGGCTCCAAGAGGGTGCCTAGACAGGGGAACCAAACGGACATTTCGAGCCCTCGGCCCTGCCGAGAGGCTCCCAGAAGGCCCCAAGAGGCCCCCAAGAGGCCCCCACGAGGCTCCAAGAGGCCCCCAAGAGGCCCCCAGGAAGCCCCAAGAGGCCCCCGAGAGGCTCACAAGAGGCCTCCAAGATGCTCCCAAGGGGCTCCCAAAACTGCCCCCCAGAGGTCTCCGAGAGCGCTCCGAAGAGATCCCACACACAGATTCCCTGAGGACTGTGACACACGTCGTCGTCGTCGTCGTCGTCGTCGTCGTCGTCGTCGTTGTCGTCGTCGTCGTCGTCGTCGTCGTCGTCGTCGTCGTCGTCGTCGTCGTCGCCGTCGTCGTCCCCTTTCAGGGTCGGCGGCACCGACCGTAAGGCCTCGGAAAAGATGCCTCATCTGTAGGAGTGCAACTACATGTTCACCTGCTGCTGCTCGCCGACTCTCTCCACCTGCGTTTGCCTCCAACTGCGGATTCAGCATCCCCACCTGACCATGACGCCATCGAGCTCATGATTGTTACAGGAGCCAAGGCCTACCAATCCCGACAGCTTAGTAGTCATCGTGCCATCCCATTGGGCACTGTAGGCATACGTCTGCACCAAATGAGCGGAAGACACGCTCAGGAGGCTGTCCGACGAACAGAGGATGAGGAGGAGGATGAGGAGGAGGAGGAGGAGGAAGAGGAGGAGGAGGAGGAGGAGGAGGAGGAGGAGGAGGGAGGAGGGGGAGGAGGAGGAGGAGGAGGAGGAGGAGGAGGAGGAGGAGGAGGAGGTAGAGAAGGAGGAGGAAAAGGGGGAGGAGGAGGAGCAAAACCACCTGCACAGCAGCGTGCGGCGCCTGGCCTCCTGCCTCCTGCCCTCCTCCCGCGGCTGCCGCGGAAGAACCACGCGAGGGGCATGGCGGGGACGTACTCCCACAGGTTACCAATCTCGACGCAGGGGAACCTCTTGGCCCTGTCCTGCGCAGCGCGCGCTGCTGCAGGACGACGTGCCCACCGAGCACAACAGGCACGAGTCTCACTGCGGCATGCCAGGCATGAACGTTTCCCAACTCACGCTCCGCATCATCTTGTACATTCGAGTGCGCTCCGTTTGCGCAACTGTCAGCCCAACCCCTTCATTATCAAATGACTTTACCCATCAAGCAAATCAGCAATGCCTCGTGCTCCCCTGTGCGCAACAGAAGCCCGCCACCCCAAATCCTCTGTTGCGATGCTGTGTTTGGAGAGGCGCTCTGGAATGACTTCCCATGTGTTTCGTTGCCCCCCTGCGAGGGTTTCTCTCATGGGGTCATGCCTCAGGCTGCATGCCACAGGAACCAAGACGAGCGCGCCAAGGTTCGCAGAGCTCGCGCGAGCGGGACAGTGCTTCGCACCACGCCACAATGTGGGAACTGCTTGCTGTGGAGAGGGGCCGCGAGAGTCGACAAGCGCGTTCCACTACTCGCAAAGTAGCTACTCGCAAATGGCTTGAATCCGCCGCGGGGATCTGCGATATTTTACATCGAAGAAAAAACACATGTTTTTGTCAGTCGTTTGCTACGTAGGCACTTTGCGAGTAGTGGAGCGCGCTCGGTGAGAGAGCACTCCCAACACGCGCCAAAATCACCAATGTCCACGTGCTGTCGAAAACTGGTGCCAGCAACTGACCAGAGAGCCGGAGGGGCGGATGCTCCTTCACGTCGTATCCCTCCCTCTGCCACGTAGCAGCCTGGCGGCGTTTCGGCCGTAGATGCTCTGTGCTTGACGAGGCAAGCTACCAACCGATCTATGGGAAAACGCGCAGCTAGTTGACACGCGCAGGGCTGACCTACGACCGTCCTCATGCACCTCCCGTTTACGTACCTTCCATCCTCCCTATCTGCCCCCCGAGACTGTGAGATTCACTGGCGCTTCTCTGGTCGGAGTGAATGCGGCTGTCATGCGCTTGCTGCAGCAAAGGAAACGACCAAACATGACAAGAGGGCACGTCCAAAAGTAGGTGCGCGGTGGGTCGATGGAACTGCAAACCTTGTCGTGGGGACTGCCAATGAACTGGGCGGGGGAGAAACCAATGGGGTTAATCCAGCAAGCGCTCGTACCGGTCCATCTTTCTGTTGCTCGCCGCCTCCCTTGGGCCAGCGGTGTGACCTGGCGCAGGACAAGTAATTGTGCGGACCGTCCAACCCTGTGGTCTGCGAGCGCTGATTCCGCGAGCCGAGTGACAGCTGCGATCGTGGGGAGATCACTCGGCAAACGCGCCTCGTAACGGTGCCAGCGACGGACGGGTCCAGGTGGCCTTTCGGGGGACGTCTTGGACCACACCACCGAGCGACCTCCCTCGAGGAACAAGCAAATGCACAAAACTGTCGGAGGTCCACGCGGATTTCTTGGATCGGCGTTGGGCTCCCCTCCCTGGCGCACGGAGCGCGCCAGGGCTAGCGCCGCAGGCGTCACCACGGGGGCCCAGCGCGGATCCGAGGAATCTGCGAGGAGCTCGCATTGTATTCTGATTCTTCGACTCCCTCGCACAGACCTGCCAGGCGACGCATCGCGGCCCGCTCTCGCCACCCTCGCAGCGCGAGGCGTCCAGCGACGACCCGTCGACGCAGGGGCCCGGAAAAACCCGCGGCCCCCTTTCGATGGCCCTCCGAGCGCCTGTCAGCGCCAAGGCCTGCTTGATCACCGACGCAGGCGGTGCAACGATGGCCGACACAGGCCGGACAGGGTGAACACGCGCACATTCTCTCTGTCTCACTTTCGCTCTCTCCATCTCTCTCCCTCTTCCTCCCTCTCCCTCTCCCTCCCTCCCTTCCTCCCTCCCTCACTCTCCACCGCCCCAAATTACCTCCTCCCCCGCCCCTGCCTCCTCCTTCCCCCTCTCGGTCGCCCCATGCCTCCACGCGCATCCTCCACATCTTCTTCCCGAGCAGCCGGTACTTGCCGTCCATATCCGTGCAGGCGTCCCAGACAGGGTCGCCCTGACGGGCGGGCAGGGCGCGGCGGGCGGCGGGCGGGGCGGGCGGGGCGGGCGGCCGCTTCGCCAGCCTCGCGCGCGCGGGGGTCCATCGCTGGGGCGGCTGGAGGGCGGCAGGCGGGGGAGGAGGGGAGGCAGGAGGCGGCGGGGGAAGGAGGGTGGAAGGAGGCCGATGGGGAATGAAGGGAAGGGGGGGGGGGGAGGGAGGGGAATGAAGGGAGGGAGGGCGGGGAGGTGGGAGGGCAGGAGGCTTATGGGGAGGGGGGGAGGGAGGGGGTTGGAGGTGGACGAGGCCCACCCTCCCCCGTTCACGTGGCAGGCGGCTTGCTGTGGTCGAGGGCCGCGGCGGCAATGCCTCGGGGGTGGAGCCGGGCTTGCTCCCAGGTGTCTTCGGCGGGAGGCGGGAGGAGTAGCGATTGAGAGGAGGAAGAGTGGATGAGAAACGAACAGGCGTACATACGTATATAAACAAAAAACGGTAGAGAATGAGGGACAGAGATAGAGAGAGAGACAGAACAATCAAACAACTAAAACTATACATGTACAGAATTACACATGAATTATACATATAAATGTACGTTTACATATGTTCACAATGAATCCGACCATGCATCCCCGTTTCCCCAAACAGCGTTTGCACTTAGAAATTGTGACTTCTGATCTAAAGAACTTGGCCGTGTGGTTGGCCTGGCCGCTATGTACTCGCCGTCGCCGCCTCGTCGCCGACCGTCGTCTGGACTGTGGGACTGTGTGACCGGTTTGGCGGTTGTGTAATCGCCGTCGCCGCCTCGTCGCCGCCCGTCGTCCGGGCTTGTTTGGTCTGGCGGTTGTGTGGCCGCCGCCGCCGTTCGGTCGCCGCCTCGTCGCCGCCGAAGATCTTCGTTTCGAAAAGGATATTCGGGTCTCCCCCCCTTCTGGGGTTAACGGGTCGCTTTTTCGTATTGCAATTTACATGTGGATCTGCCAAATCGCCCCTCCGAAATATGAAGTCGTACCATCCCAAACAGGCGGGAACTCGGCACCCCTTCATCTTCTGCCAAAAAATATGCGCGAACACTCGGTCACCAGAAACCGACCATTTTTCAAAACCCTTTTTGCAACAAGTAGGACGATGTGTACACGCGCGCGTCGTCGCGCACGCATGCCGCAACCCTTTGAAAACGGTAGGTTCCGTAAAAATTTCGAGAAATCGAAAATCACGGAAACAGGCAAAAACAAATGTTTGCGCCACACTGGATTTCCACACAAAGCTTGCGCCCGCGCTTCTGCCGTTTTTGAGGGAAGCAAACCTGGTTTTCCCCGAACTTATCATGACATGCTACGAAACGGGCCTCCCGCGCGCGCGTGTCGAAATCGTTCGAACGCCCTTGCGCGCGTGCTGTCGCAAAAACCCTGCGCAACAAATGGGACGAAGTGCACGCGCGCGCGCGCCGTCGCGCGCGCATGCCGGAATCCGTCAGAAACCTTTGGTGCTGTAAGCCTTTTCAATGACGAGTGCCCCGAAACATATCAAAACGCATAATTTTGCAGCACCATTTTTCCAAACAGACATGCGCTGGCGGTCGTGCAGGTTCTTAAGACAACCATCGGTTTCCCAACATGCTTATCAATTTCTGCCAAACAAGCCTCTCGCGCCGCATGTCGAACTCATTCGAACGCCCTTGCACGCGTGCTGGGAGGAGGGGGCGCGATCCGTTTCAAATAATACCCCGCGGGCCACTCGCGCGAGTCGGCCGCGCGCTCATGTCGAACTCCTCCAGGCCTTCGTAGCCGACGCGAAGAAATCGTCGTTATCAGCCAGCGTAATTAACATCTGCGTCGTCAGTTGCTTTGCCGTCGTCGTCGCCCCCGTCGCCACCATCATCGCTACCATCAGAATCGTGTCTACCGTTGTCGGCGTCGCCATGATACCGCGCCCGCCCAAGTAACCGACTCGCACTGAAGTGCCCGCTGGGAAATGCCCAGCGGTCAGAGCCACAGCGGCCGCGTCGGTCGCGCCAAGCTAGGTGGCAGCTGTGCGCGCGTGCATGCGCGGGCTAGCGCGGCCGCAGAATACACCACTCAACGCCAAGCACTCATTGCAATCACCGCCGCATGGATTTTGCAAACCAAGTTGCGGGTGGATGGGTGGCACATTTGAACGGGCATGGGATGTGTCAGCTCATGTGTAAAACCAATTGCACCGCATGGATTGCACCGCACTTTTTGCACCGTTTAGATTGTACCACATTTCTCGCAGAACATAGGTTCTCCCTTCTAAAAGAAATATAGACTCTACCCCTCCCCCCCCGGCGTTATCGTTCCCCCCGCGCCCGATGTAAATCACATATGACTATGACCACATGTTCATCCGAAACTTGAAATCGCAGTGTCCCAGGCCAACCGGGCTCCCCCCCTGAGGTTCCCTTTGTAAAACACACTATGCGGTGACTTCTTTTGTTCTAACATCAGACTTGTTCGCGAACCCCTTGCAAAAAATACGGGACGAAGTGCGCACGCGCGCGTCGTCGCGCGCGCATGCCGAAATCCTTCAAAAACCCTCGGTGTCGGAAGAAATTCGCAATCGAGTCTCCAAACAACATGCAAAAACACAAGGTTTCGCAACACTGGTTTGCTAACGAAACTTACGCGCGGGCTCTTGCGAAATCTTCGGAGAACCATGGGCTTTTCAAAATTCTCACAACATGCTACCAAGCGGGCTTCGCGCGCGCATGTCGAAATCTGTCGAACGCCCTTGCGCGTGTGCCGTCGCGAGAATCCTCTGCAACAGTGTGACGAAGTGCAGACGCGCGCGTCGTCGCGCGCGTATGCCGGAGTCTTTCAAAACCCATCGGTTTCGGAAGGATTTCAAAATCGTGTCCAAACAAAAGCATACAAAAACACAAAGTCTCGCAACACGGATTTTCAACAAAAACGTGCGCGCACGCTGTTACGTCGTCGTCGTCGTTGTCGTCGTCGCCGTCCTCCCTCCTCCCACGTCGTCGTTGTCGTCGTCGCCTACGTCGTCCTCTGTCTTTCCTCGTGTTCGTCGTCGTCGTCCTCTTTGGCGTCGTGGTCGTTTCCGTCGTCGTTGTCGCCGTGGTCGTCCTTCCTCCTCCTCCTCCTCCCTCATCGTCGTTGTCGTGCGTCGTCGGAGTCTCGTCGTCGTCCCTTCTATTTCCTCGCCGTCGTCGTCGTCGTCGTTGTCGTCGTCGTCGTCGTCATCCCTCCTCCCTCGTCGTTGCCGTCGTCGGCGTCGCCGTCAGCCTTCCTTCTTCGTCGTTCGCGTCGTCGCCGTCCTCCGTTCTCCCTCGTCGTTGTCGTCGTTGTCGTCGATGTCGTCGTCGTCGTCCGCCCTCCTCCCTCGTCGTCGTTTTCGTTGGCGACGTCGTCGTCGTCTTCGTCGTCGTCGTCGGCGTCGTCGTCGTCGTCGTCGTCGTCGACGTCGGCGTCGTCGTCGTCGCCGCCATCGTCGTCGTCGTCGTCGTCGTCGGCGTCGTTGACGTCGTCGTCGTCGTCGGTGTCGTCGTCTTCGTCGTCGTCGGCGTCGTCACCGTCGTCGTCGTTGTCATCGTCGTCATCGTCGTCGGCGACGGCGTCGTCGTCGTCGGTGTCGTCGTCGTCGTTATTGTCGGCGTCGTCGAAGTCGTTGGAGACGTCGTCGGTGTCGTCGCAATCGTTGCGGGCTGTTGCGGCCGCAAAGATGTAGCAGCCAACACCCAGCACTCATCGCAATTGCTCCCGCATGGGTTTTGCAAACCAAGTTGCTTGTGGATGGGTGGAATGATTGCGCGAGCAGAGGGGGTTGACCACTTCAAGTTCGGCAAGTGATTTGAACCGCATAGACGGCACCACATCGATTGCACTATTTGTGTGGCGCCACAAACAATGCACAACGTAGTGCGCAACAAGTGTTGCATCGCATAACTTGCACCACTTAACTGCATCATCTAGCTTGCGCAAAATAGATTGAACCGCGTCTACGGCACCAAATAGATTCTCCGTTCTAAAAAGAGAATAGACTCCCCCCCCCCCGGCATTATCCGTTCCCCTTTCGGGTATGTAAATCATGAATGGTTCTGGCCACAGGTCCATCCCAAATGTGAATTTACGCTATCCCAGGGGGGCCGGCATCGCTCCCACGGGGGTTCCCTTGCACAAGAAAACACAACACGCGGGGACATGTCTTGTTCTAACATAAGACTTTGTCACGAATCCCTTGCAAGAAAAGGGACGAAGTGCACGCGCGCGCGTCGTCGCGCGCGCGCATGCCGGAATCCTTCAAAAACCTTCGGTGTCGGAGAGATTTCGCAATCGAGTTTCCAAACAAACATACAAAAACACATGGTTTCGCAACACGGATCTGCTAAAAAAGCTTACGCGCGAGCTCTTGCGAAATCTTAAGAAAACCATTGGTTTTTCAACATGTTCACAAAATGCTACCAAACTGGCTTCGCGCGCGCATGTCGAGCTCATTCGAAAGCCCTTGCGCGTATGCCGTCGCGAGAACCCTCCGCAAAAAACTGGACTAAGTGCAGACGCGCGCGTCGTCGCGCGCGTATGCCGAACCCCTTTAAAAGCCGTCGGTTTCGGAAGGATTTCAACATCTTGTGTTCCAGAAAACCTATCAAAAACATAAGGTTTCGCAACACGTATTTTCACCAAACGCGTGCGCGCGCGCTCTTGCGTCGTCGTCGTCGTCGTCGTCGCCGTCCTCCCTCCTCCCGCGTCGTCGTCGTTGTCGTCGCCTACGTCGTCCTCTGTCTTTCCTCGTGTTCGTCGTCGTCGTCCTGTTTTGCGTCGTGGTCGTTTCCGTCGTCGTTGTCGCCGTGTTCCTCCTCCTCCCTCGTCGTCGTCGTCGTCCGTCGTCGGCGTCTCGTCGTCGTCCCTCCTATTTCGTGGCCGTCGTCGTCGTCGTCGTTGTCGTCGTCGTCTTTCCTCCTCCTTCGTCGTTGCCGTCGTCGGCGTCGCCATACTTCCTCCTTCTTCGTCGTTCGCGTCGTCGCCGTCCTCCCTCCTCCCTCG